TGCAGCTTTCCACGCCCAGTTGCCTGCACAATGTATTAGGTGGAGGTTGCCATGGAGGACCAGTGGAGGCACCGGAAGGTTACCCTGGGGTCAAATGATCGGGATACGATTGTGACTAGGGAGGCTCGCGAGGTGCAGAGGATGGCCAGACAACTCCAGGGGCGTCGTTGCTCGGCCGCCAGTGAGGCGGTGTCTGCTGCTGGACCTGAATCGCCTTCCCCGCCGGCTGCTGAGTCCGCGCCGCCTGCTGAGCCAGCGCTGGCTGCTAGTGCTGACCCCGAGCCTGCTCTGGGACCAAATGGTCTCATCGCTGGCGAGTCAGCCGAGAGCACGGATTCTTACACGGCTCCGTACATGGTAGAAGGTGGCGACGACGCCGATTGCTCGTTCCGGTTGAAACCACTGTCACTTGATTATAACGTCAACAATCTGACTGACACCGCTCTGGCGGTTGACAGTTACGGTGGCTCGAACTGGGCCGCTACTGCAATCATCAACGCCTTTTAACAAGACAGCAGACACGGACTGGCTACTTGAAATCAAATATCGCAGGTTGTAAGATCTGTTGCGCAAGAGACAGAGCAAGAAAGGAGACGGCTCGTTAAAATTTTGAAGCAGTCCACGAGTCAGGTTTGACCATACTCTGCTCCGACAGCAGCGAAGGCAGGGGCTACATGAGCCACACGGAGCCAGACGAATGCCGTCGAAAAACACGCGGTTGTCATCACTGAGCCAGGCAGCCGCTGCGTGACCCAATTTACGTCCGAGTTCGGCCGCGCCCTGCACTTGTTCAACGGGCGACACTCCATGAGCCCGCAGTGCGACGGTCACATCAATGTGCTCGGCTGCGATGGCACGGCCGTCAACACCGAAACGATAGACGACGTGTTCCGACTGTTTGAGATGGTCACCGAGTCACCCGTACACTGGTTCATCTGCCAGCTGCACAGCAACGATCTGAAACTCCTCCATCTGCCGCTCAGCTTGGACTGCACGACCACGGGATCGACATTTGTCTAGACCCATCGGCAAAACCTGTGCCGGAGGGGTCTGGGAAAGGGACATTGTGACATTCAAGCCTACGTCGGGGCACGTGCCAAACCTGCCGGTCGACCCTGATTCACACGGACTGAGCAACCAACCAGCAGCTGCGGGTACCTTCTGGCCTCCAGCGTTCAAAACGGCTCTGTTCGAAACGTGGCAGCCCGGCGGCGAATCGGACCATCGAACCACTAGTCAGGTAAATTATGAAACAGCATTATCTTCGGATTTATGACAATGACTGTTTAAAGCTCATCAAGTATCAATTGATACTTCATGTGCTCACTGTTGAGCATTTACTTATTATCATGCCTTGTTCCGTAGTATGTCGCATCATTTACTGGTTGGCTCATGCTTACTAGCATATTTGTCGATATATATTCCGTCACATCTAAGGACTCTGGATTTTCGGCACAATTACATCACTAAAGAGGCGCAACAATTTTGGTATGACCTAATGTTCAGTTTGTAGCGAATTGTTCTAACATATTCGCTTTTGTTTTCAGATAGTTGACACTGCCCGCTCATCTGCTCCTAGTTCACATCTCTACCGAGACCTCCAGCAACGCTCTCAAGGGCCTCTTCTTAGTGCGTGGTCGGCCGCTATGTGCCCGTATGGTCCGCCATCCAGGAAAACAGCGGCTGCGACTTTGGCTTACGCAACTTGTTCCGGAGCATTGCGCTGCTCCTCGATCTGCCGCAGCACACGTAGGACACGGTGGAGCCAGTCCTCCAACGTAGTGGGCACTGGGTCCGTCCGGAACAGCTTGCCGCTGGACATGGTGTAGGATGAGAGCCACGTGGTCCGCGAACAGGTGGTTCCGATCGTCGCGCCGCTCGTGAGCAGCAAACCGAGGTTCTTCTTCAGCCCAGGGTCTTCGCCATCCAAGCTTCTTTTTTTCCATCCAAACAAACAAACAAACAAAATTCATCCATCTTCGCCAATTCGCCATCCAATAAACTTTGAGGCCGTGAGGTACACCGAACTGACTCCCTGGCACAGAACTTGCTGTATGTATTAAGTTGTACACAATACAATATATTCTGAGTCATATGCTATACATAGTTTTGTTTTCATTGCGTGAGTTGTCTTAGACAAGTGACAGTTTAAAGCAATACTAACCAGCATGCTCTTACAAGTTCATATTCAACAGCACATAAAGTTCCTCCGCCAAATGACAATCAATCGGGTAATGTCTAATGCGCATATTAGACCTTAGACCGGGCCAATCTTGTGCGACGGCTAAATGAGCGCTCGATAGTATCGTTCATATACGCAAAGGTATTTTGTGTCGCTTGCCGCCAAAGGCTTGGTGTTACCTGCGGCGGCTGGCCCCGCCCACGCGGGGTGACTGCAACGCCGGGCGTCGGTTTACGGCTATATCTCGATCGACTCGGCCTCACGAATTTAGGTTTTTGTGAAGATCTTTTGCTATGCCGTGTATTTTTGGACTCCTGTGCCAAATAATTTTTTGTATCACTTGGTTTTGTTGCTGATGACACACCCTAGTAAATGTATATAGATATATATATATATATATATATATATATATATATATATATATATATATATGCGTGTGTGTGTGTATGTATATGCATATACATGCACGTTAATTGATTGTCTTGTCATGGCAGTTCATATAAGACGCTGCAGGGGAGCCGATCTTCTTCCATTGAGGTGGAGTCACATGCATGCTCCAGCGGGCATCAAAGCAAATCAGCACGCGCGCAGGTCTTCACCAGGTGCCGTCGCAGCACCGTGCCCTGTAATGATGTCGCGATGCTGCGATCATTGTAGCGCACGAACCGGTTTTTTGATTTAGCCTGCGGCGTATCCGGCAGCGCGTCAGAAGCCGTGACGTCGAGTCCGTTCCAGCGAATGAGCGGTTCGAGGGGTGCGTGGTCACGTGAGAACTGCCAGTGGTATCCGACACGTCCTGCGCCACGCTAGCCAAGCTTTCGACAGCGGACTCTGGCGCAGCAGAAGCCACACTCGGCTCACCAGGCTTACATAGCCCTGCACGACGGGGTTATTGGTCGCCACTCTGCTGAGGCGGCATGGTGCACCACCACCCCGATCGGCTAGACAGCTGATGAACTCTCGAATTCCTTCCGCTTGCTGATCGGAAAATAAGTGAGCAGTGATAAGAGCCAGCTTTGAGATAGAAGGAACCCTAATAGACCATAAGCCAAACACTGAGAATGCAGGGAGTAGACTGGCCTAAAACATCGACAACTACAATTTCAAGTATTGTATTATTCTCCTAGACAAGATTTGTTCAAACACACAAATTATCTTAAGCAATGTACGCTTCAGTAACAGACAGACGATAAACTCCACAGTCAGATGACCCAACGGGCTACAGCACGGTTTAAGGGTTCGGGTGCACTAGTAGAATGCGCCTATTCAGCACTGTTACAACTGTAGACTCTTTCTAACTACCTTATAAAACCGGTCAGACCTATAACTAACTTTTTAAAGCCATCCGTACCCGTCCGCTCCGGGTACGTCGTCACGCCTCTCGGTAGTAACTGGCACCGTCCTTAGCGTGTCGCAAAAGCAGATTTCAGCACCAAGCATTCTGTAAAATATATTTTCGGAACATCTCTCACTGAAGCAATGCAATGAACGGCGAGCAGGGGCCCCGTCAATCGCAGGAAAATTGTTCGAGACATCTCGGGCGCCATCTTAATGCAAGACGCCGCGCCCGCGCACATGGCGCAAAGAACCAGAAATTGCTGTCAAGTCAATCTTCTGGGGTCCTGGTCAAGATCTGGCCGCGGAACTCCTCTGACCTGAACCCCGCCGAAGACCTGTGGTGCATTCCGGAGGCGCGCCTCAGCGAGTGGGACTTTGCAGGAACATTGCAGAACTGAAAGATGTGTACAAACTGAAGCTGTGAACTGGGGGAGCGCAACAGAGGGAGTGGGAGAGCATCTCACCCCCCCCTCCCCCACGCAAGTTGCCAGGTGCCAAACCAATAAAAGGTGACATTTGGCATCATGCTTTTTACAGATAACGAAAAGATGAGAAAGAGTTTGTGAAACACCCACTTCTGTGTGACTTGGGAGGCTAAAGAGTGGTTTTAAGTCAAATAATTTCGCATGCTGCAGCCTGAAGACACCTTCAGGTCACGGATGCGAGTGGCTGTTTTTGGACGATCTTGTTGAGAGCACAACAGTGCTCAACATGCAAATTTCATTACATAACTACATGTAGGTATATCGATCAGGTGTGTTCGATTCGAAGAGGACGAAGCGTCTGTTAGAGTTCCTTCTCAACATCTCAGATCACCCAATTGAAATGACAGCATCAACGGAGGTTATCCACCGCATGCCCATTCGAGGAATGACGAAGCGTTTTGTGAGTTCGCTCTCGAAATCCCAGATTACTTAGTCTGATTAACAGTTTGGACGGGGATTATCAATCGGTTGCCCTTTGCCCCATCATGATCTTTTTCACTGTCCCTCAGACTGTCGGTGAATATCGGTCACAGCCCTTGGAAGACACAATGTGGGCGAAGACCGCGGCATTCCAGAACGGTCCGGTCACCATCATCGATGCAGCCGCACCAGTGATGACGCGTCAGGAGCATGACGTGGCCTGTGCAGGTCACGTGACAGCTGGGTTTTCCTACCCGCAAGGGCTGAACCGCCCCCGTCGTACTCAGTCAATGCCACTGAGCATGGGCGAACCCATGGGCGAACTATGCTGTCAGCAGTGGCTCAAGAAAGCATGCGGTCACAACAGCGATCAGGATTGCTAAAAATCTAGACATGTCAAGCCGTTGATGACTGCGACAAGGGCTGCAGCCCAATTACGCGATGCGTGCTGGAGAATCCGCGCGTCGCACATGGCTGCCCCATGAGCTCTATCCCTGGCGATGCCTTTGCGCCAGGAGTGAATGCATTTAAGCCTTTCATTGTTCTGCCCCCCGCCTGTAGATCGTGCATACCAGTCGCTTGGTGTTGTGTGAGTCCAGCTCCCGGAGCGAAACAGCTAACGTTCGGCGGTCGTGCAACTGCCAAAAGGCATAATGGAGGTGTCCAAGATTGGTTTTACTCTTACGCTGCTGGTAAGTGGTCAAAGGTGTGGTTCAAATCAGAGGTCATCACCAAATTAATCTGAAGTGAGGGCTGTCTGAGGTAATTCGATGGAACACGGCATAGTTCGGCATAGCATACTTTGGGCGCAAAATGTCCGTGGCTGTCGACACCCTTAAGCTCAATTGACCACAAGGTAATTGAATATCACTGCACTTGACACTAAAAACCAACAAACCAGAGCTAGAGACATCAAATTCACAGTGTGTTGACCTGTACGTGACATGAACTCTCTTAGGTCAAATATTGCGATTTCTAGGTCATGACCTTGGGGTCAAACAAGGCCAAAAATGTCAAATTCCAGACTGGTCTCCAAAGCGCCCCTAGAACCTAGGCAACTGTTCTAAGAAAAATGTCACATGCGCAGTTCACGTCAGTGACCTTGTTTGACCATTTAACACGCGCCCGGGTGGCCGCTTGAATACTCTTCGCTCGGATAGAGGCGGTCAATTTGAACCCCCCTCAGACCTCGGGAACTAAGAGAGCTAGAAAGACATATCAGGGTGTGTTGACGTATACATGAAATCACTTAGGTCAGTTTGAAGTTCTTAGGTCATAACCCTCGGGTCAGATAAGGTTCAAACTAGGTCAAATTCCAGATTGGTCTCCAAAGGGTCCCTAGAGCCTAGGCAACTGTTCTAAGCAAAATGTCACACCCTCAGATAAGGTCAGTGAACTTATTTTACCTTTTCAAGGTCATGATGACCAAAATGATATCAGACTGTTTTGATTTCTGCGTTTGGATAAGCGACAAAAATAACGCTAGGCAGCATGCTCCAAAAAAAATTGTTGACCTGAGTCATTTTGGGCCAGTGACCCATTCTGACCTATAAGAAGTCCATTGAAAGTGTATAATACGGTTCCTGCTATCAATATATTCGGAATGAGCACCAGAAGCCAGCCCATACATCAAACCCGAGAGTAATAAAACAGGTTGGTTTTGAGCTTGGTCTGACCTTCATACCTGCCCCTAGGTCAATGTTATTTGTTTATTCAATTTTTGTGTTGCCTATGAAAGAATCTCAGAGATGTAGGGCTTCATCGAACGCTGCGCTGTTGGGTCAGATTGAATGATTCCCTAGATATTGTCATCGCCGAAACCATGGCCTGACTTTGTACTGCTATAGGTCAGCGATGTTACAATGTGCATCTAAATTTTTGATGCCAGAAGATCCAGCATTAAATTGTCTATAACTATGCAAAATTGGGCACGGTCACACCGCGCCGTTCGAAAACCATTCCGGAGAAAACTTCGGGAGGGTCAATTTGACCCCCACCCGGACCCGTGTTAACAGTTGAGGTTCCTAAATTACATGGGTCTTTGCCTATGGCATCTTTCTCAACATCATGTCGGTGACGTTTCGCTTAAAATCAACAAGCTCCGCCTCGCAGAAAATGCATTCCAAACAGCCTTTCTGTGCGCTTGTCCCGTTCTGGGGCTTTTACAAGGTCAAGTTTTACCCAGTCATTCTTGATCAAACATTTATCTGTGTGACTAAGTTTCGTTATTTGAAGGTCATACGATTGATGTGTCGCTGGGGATACATTTCAGGGGCAGATGCACGTGGCGCGCGTATTCTAGTATAAGTATTGCGTGATGAGGCAGCAGCCCTGGACCCCACGGTCAAAGGCTTGAAAATCTGGATTTTGAACTGACCGGTATCGCGTCAGCACCACTTTTCGCGTAAGCAAGGCAGCGCAATCATGAGTTTGTTATCAGGAGTGTAGTTGTCGTTTCAGCTGGGTAGGCTTCTATCTTGTGCTCCAGCCCCACAACTTTGAGAGAAAAGTGAGCCAAATCCGGTGAGAAACCCGTTTGATGGTGAACTTGGGGGTTAGGTTTCATACCTTTTCATGATTAAGCCCTTTCCCCAACTCACTTTGTGAAATTACGCCTCTTTTTGGCACCGCCTAGTGACACCTGAGCACGACGGGGAGACGATTCCGTCGCTGAGAGAGGGAAACCCAGCTGCCACTTGACCTGCCAAGGCAGCATCATGCCCACGACGCGTCATTGCCGGTGCGGCTACGCCGATGGTGGTGACCGGACCATTCTGGAATGCAACCAGGGGCGCGGAAACTGTGTTCAAGTTGGGGGGAGGGGGGGGGGCGGAACTCCAAGATGCCAAAACAGGCCCCCTAAGATTTGGACTTTCTACAAGCCCGAATGGGCCCTTTAAGTCAGCAATGGGCCCTCTTCAGGTCAGAATGAGGCCTCAACAGGCATGAATGGGCTCTCTACAGCCTAGAATGGATCCTCCCAGCCAATAATGGCTCCTCTGAAGGCCATAGTACGGACCATCCGGTCAGTAATATGCGTCTGCAAGTCAGAATGGAGAGCTGGAATAATGGGTCTTCTGCACGTCAGATTAGCCACGCTGCAGGCTCAGACGTGCCCTCTTTTGATCAGAATGGATACAAAATTGGCCAGAATGGGCCCGCAACAGGTCAGGATGAGCTTGCATAGGCTTACGTAGTCATTTTGCAGGTTACAATTGCCCCTTAACATATCAGAATGGGCCTTTCACAGGCCCTCCAAGTTGGGGAGAGTGGCGTCCCAAACTTTTAAGTCGGGGGGGGGGGGGGGATAGAGCTGCACCCACTTTCCTCCCCACCCTCCACCCCCGTTTCTAGTGTCCTTGAATGCCGTCATCTTCGCCACATTGTGTCCGCCAAGGGCTGTGGCTGTTACAGCCAGACTATCTGAGGAAAGTAAATGTGCAAAAAACACAGTGGGACGGAGCACCCAATTGGTGACATCCTAAGGTCTAAGCCCAAACTGGCGTTCAGAATGGGAGCCTGAGATGCTTAGAGCGCACTGAAAAAAACCTTTATCCTTCTCGCATCAAACGCACCTAGTCCAGATGCGTACTCTTACTATAAACTTCGCGCAAAAGATGACAGCGTGCCCCTAACAACATGAACGTTAAAAACAAACACCCGAACCCTGAACTGAGGCTAACCTCACGCTGTGGCATGCCAGAACAGACTTCTGTTTTGCTTCTGTTTTTCTGTCGGCACCACGTGCTGCTCTGTCAGGCCCGGAGTCACCCGCTCCTCCTGGACTCCTCTTCACAAGGTGGAATGCGTAACTTCCACTCTATTTCCATCCACACGGGGTCGCATTTCGGTGCGAGGGTTGCGCAGTCCCGAAAAGCTAAGGTCTCCTTTACCTCTTAAGAATGTTATGTCTCTTGAATGCCTATTCTCATGTCGTTCTGGCTCCAAATCTTCAATATTTCAAGCATCTTCATCCCACTACTCCATTCTGTCTTTCGTTCGATTTCGACTTTATCCCCCTGGTACAGCAAAATGCCAGTGGATGCTTCCTTTAAAGCCAGTTGGTCATGTTAAACACTTTGCAGTTCCTGTGTTTTTAATTGGTTTAAAAACGCTTTGATCGTTTTGGCCTCTCTTCAGCGCTGTTTTTGGCGCGAGCGATCTTCACTACGCGGCTCACCTACTAACCGGAGGGTCGGCCTGAGTGTTTCTGGTCGTTGAGAGGTGCTCCATGTGAAGATATTCTCCATCAAATGCTCCCCCACCGCCAATTGACACCAAACGCGTGCATTCACTGTGCGTGGTGACTGCCCCAGTGCGTTGTCAACACCTCCTTGGATGACACTATCCTGGACTATTCCCATCACCCCTGCACAGGCAACCTTTCGGGAGGTAACCTATTTTGAAATGCCTGCGGTTTGGCCATGTCTGAAATACGTGGCATGATTAAATCCATTGGGCGTAGGCAATCAATTGTTCATACGTAAGCACGCGTCGCATATCTCAAGAAATGCATGTGACCTTTGGCTAATTACGTCACATCAATGTGACCCACGCTGAAGTCTCATCACCAAACATGCAGGTGAAGAGATGACCCGACTAAACGTCGGGAGTGGGATGATAATATGCTCAGCGATAGAAGCCGGGTAGCCTACAGCGCACGATGCAAGTGTCTCACTCCCCTGCCGACCATTTCAGATGGCCGCCGCCGGGTCGGTCCGAGCTCTGCCGGCCAACACCGCCGCGATGCAGGGTTGGCCCGCCTGGGGCAGTGTTCAGAACCCCACGGCTGTCCAAGCCCCAGAGGTGAACAGGGCTGGTAGCAGCTCGATTGGCATCGGAGACGGCTGTGGCAGCGGCCCGCGGGGCGAGTGCGTGGGCACGTGCTGCACGCGGCTGGGCGACGGCGCCGCCAGGTGCCCGGGTACGCTCGTGTTTGTGGCGGACGCCGGCGCGTGCGTCGACTGTTTGTTCCAGCCGCACCCGAGCTGCCCTCGCCTTGCGGCCGGTGTTGGGAGACTGTTCGGCGGGCGGTAGTCGAGTTCTGTTGCGTTTCGAGCGCTGGTCCTCCCGGACCGCCGTCCATGTGCTAGGTGTAGCGATGTTTGACAGATCGGCTCTCCGAAGTAGCAAATGGCCGACAATGATTTAAACCGATATGTAATAAAATAACGCATATTTCATATTCACGGATTACGCAAGGAGCCAGTGTCACAATGTGTGTTCGCGTGTTTGGTTGTGAGTCATATGCAGTGAAATGAGAAAGTTGTTTGTTGCCCTATAAATCAACTCAAGAAGCAGATGACCAGATCTAGTCTCGACGCATACTGGCGCATGCAGTGCCGTGTACTCCACCGAGCGTGTGACTTGTCAGTACAATCACACGCTCACGTTCACACACGTTCTATCATCACACGTTCTATTTAGCAAGCCGGCTACCAGGATATAACTAACGCGGCTTATCTGATGACGTTGGTGTGGCTTGTACGCTGCAAAACTACAAGTCAAAAGCTGTCTCAAGAACACCTGCTTTTGTTTTCAGTGCAAGATATCAACAATGGCTTGGCTTGTACAATGGCATTCTGTGCAACCTACTCACTAGTAGGTGTACGTGGTCTAAAACAGTAACCATCGTCTGCTGATGCCAGCCCAAAGCGCCGAAACGTCCTCGTGGCGAAAATGCAGCATCGTGGCTACTCTTCACCAGAAAAAGCATCGTTGTGCCAATTAAGCTCTATTTTATAATGGGTGAATATAGTACACATGCCGGCGCACGCATCGCTCGCTACTTACCGCCCGCTAGACCGGACCTGTTGTGAGGCACGGCGTTCTTGTGGTCTTTAACACGCGCACCAAATTTGCAGGGTACCTTGGCCTGTATGTGAACTCCCTTAGGTCAAATATTGAACTTACTAGGTCATGACCTTCAGGTCAAATAAGGTCAAACAATGTCAAATTCGAGGTTCGTCACCAAAATGACCCCAGAACCCAGGAAAATGTTTCTAAGCAAAAGGTCAAAAGCCCATTTGAGGTCAGTGAACTTCTTTGACCTTTTGAAGGTCATGGTGACCAAAATCATACAAGACTGCTCTGAGCTGTGCATTTGAATAAGCGACAAAGATTACGCTAGACAGTACGTTCATAAAACAAAATGCCAACTCTGGTCGTCTTAGGTCAATGACCTTTTCTAACCTCTAATGAGTCAATGGAAGATGTATAATGCGGTTCCTGCTGTCAATAAATTCGAAATGAGCACCACAAACTATCCCATACAGCAGGCCCTAGAGTAATAAATAAGGTTGGTTGTGACCTTGGTCTGACCTTCATAACTGACCTCAGGCCAACATAACTTGCTCAGTCAATATTTTTAGTGCCTAAGAAAGCATCTCAGAGATGTATGGCTTCGTCAAAGACTCCGCTATTGTATCAGATTGGACGATTCCCTAGAAATTGTCTTCGTTGAAACCATGGCCTGACTTTGACCTGCCATAGATCAGCGACCTTACAAGGTACTTCTCAATTTGTGACGCCAAACGATCCGCTATTTAATTTTCTACAGCTATGCAAATTTTGGCGCGGCTTCACGACGCCGTTCGAAAATCATTTGCGAAAAGCTTCGGGGGATCAAATTGACGCCCAGAACACGTGTTAATCATTCGTAAACGCACAGCGCTCTTGTGGCAGCAGTCCTGCTGCCAAATTTGAATATGACATATGTTTTCTGGTGAGCAGCTTTTAACCTAACAGGCAATGTGAAAATTGACGTTCGAAAAATCGAAAAAGCTTGACAAAAGTTATCAAGAGGACACGACGCCGTTCTCTTTATTGTTCCATGTTTCGGCGCAAATACCATGTCAAAATCTACATACCTATACATGAAATGCCAAGCTGAATTGATTTCGCTGGATACGAGCACACACAAAAAAGAAACATCTTAAATGTCAAACAAAGCGCATTTAGAATGCTTTTTAGTGATAAAAGAATGCTTTAAACTGACAGAAGTATGCATTTTCGAGCTAAAATCTTTATGAGTTCGAAATCAAGTAGCATTTGGGCAAATCCGTGAAGACCGCACGTAATCTTTCGTATGCAAAATATAGACGAACGTCCATATTGGCCAGCCATATAGCACAGAGACTCAAGTCTCTAAGCAATTAATTATATGCTTGACCATAAAACTCCTGTGGATGAACGCTGCGTCGTACCAACGTCAAGTCATCCAGCTGTATGTGGGCTACACGCCTACGAAGTGGATCAAGGCCAACAGGAACCCGCTCTCGGTCGTCCTTTGTGATGAGGTCGGAGTGGAGGATCAGCGTTACTGATGCCCCTCTGATGCCATCCCCGGGTCATCCCATACCAATTTGGCACGGTGTTCCGGTGAGTCCGCTTCAATTATTCGTCGACTTTTGGCGGGCCCGCTTGGCCGTATTCCAGGGAGGGCGCAGGTCGACCATCGGTCAGCAGCGGTCAGGGGTGTTCAACCCGTCCGCGCGCAGTGCGCGCAGCCTTGACAGGTATCGTCCGGTAGGCCAAAAACCAGCTCCACATCGCCCACAGAAAAATCCGGTGCAGTTCCGATTCAAGTGGTGCATGCACGATTGTCAGCCGGTCGGTTTCTAGGAAACTTTGATAATAGGAATTTGGCGCATGGAGAGGTGAATGGCGTGGTACCATCTTAATGCGTCTACACACGAGGTCACACGTGGTCATGGTTCTAATCTCACAGTGGAGCTCATTGATGCAAGGCGACAGGAAACGGGACCATTGAAGCGGTGTTATCACCAACTCAGAATGAAAGGCACGTTGCTTTGCCACCACTGCAAACGATAGGGGGCACCAGATGACGTCACAGGAGCTAACGGCGTGGATTGGCTGGCGGTGCTTTTCGGGGGGGGGGGGGGGGGGATCTTCAGCGCGACTCTGACCCTGAGGCCCGCGGGCCTGGGATCGCCGCCCCGCCATTTGACCGCGGCCCGCGCCGGTGCCGGACTGTGATCGGGGGACGCACCACCCCGGCCGTGCAGGAGAGCTGCAGCGCTCCCCTGGTCTCAGCAGGAGCGGGCGAGGAGCGCCGCTGAAGCTGCTCCCGAGCCGGACCCACGCTGGACGGTTGTGACACCTCACGCGCTCCGGGGCCGCTGTGGCGGTCTGCTCCTGTGGACGCGATGTATGTGGGCGAGAGCTCGTGGCAAGCCCCGCAGGATTCCACGCTGCAGGTGGCACACAACCCGAAGTTCGGGAGGCCGCCGGCTGAGGTAGGTCCGCAGCCGAGTGGCATGACTGGACTTGGTAGCTTGGTAGGTAAGCCGCTGTTCCGGGGCGAAACTGTCCGGCAGTAAAAGGAACGACGTTTCATATAATTTACTGGGTGAGAGGCTGCTGAATACAATAGTCTCCAGTATTTAGTGTTGAAGACTGGTCTGATGGTATTGACCACTTGCCAGCAAGGGAGTTCAAGACAACATAGAAGGAAAGACACCCAAAAGGGTGCAAAATTGATCAATAACATTCAATTCATCCGTCAGCAAAATGTAGAAATGGGCCCATGGTACCTGGTCAAACGCAGTACAACACGGTTTGACTGGGACACGAGTGAATAATCACATTACAACAAGTGTGTGTCACCGCGTGAAGCGTGTCATGTGCACTCGAATACGAACTATGCATCCGCCATTGGTATACACTGAAAACCGAAATGATTCGTTTAGGAAATATATGGAGTCTTGATCTAAGACAATACCCATATAATCCCTCACTATGCCCCTCACGTTCTTTTATTTCCCCCGGTATTCATGCACGTAAGACACCTAGCCGGACAAAAATTAACGCCTTGTTATGCCTTTGCAACCCTCCTGATGTCCGGGACATTGCCGTGTTTTGTCCCCATGATATTCTCTTCTCTCCACAGATACCCATGACATATCGACAAAATCCACGAAAAAATGTCAGCTATTTGTAGACGCCTACAGTGTCCTTGTATATATGTCCTTGACTCTTTGTTGATATCCCTGGAATTTCCCGCCTGCGCCAGTCGCAGGTTTATGCATATTTCACTTAAGGCAGCCAATCGGCGCTTAAGACAGCGGCCAAGGCCTCCAGGTCCGTGCATCGTTGGAGGACATTAATAAAACCATTGATTGTGCCATGCTGAGTGATGACAGAGCTCTTCTGCCGCACCTTTGTTGAAATTACATTTCACGTAACATGAATATCAATGCTGCATTTGTTTGTTCCACTTCCACATCGGGCCTTTAACTGCCGCGTTAATGTCAGGCTAAATGTGATTTTCGCCACGATGTACGAAAATACAGACCGCCGTACAGCCACCGCCGTATTGGTAATGGGATGAAAAATGATGTGAGCACATTTACAGGGCGTACCAGCGTCAATATGAACATGGCACCGCCCACTGAGCTGCGTTTCCCAGAAACCTTTACAAAAGGACTAAGACTATGATAAAAGATTATGCCTCACCCGTCCAGATGCGGTTCTCCACGCTTGTTCACCACTGGTCGATCGTTGCGATGGAAAACATCGCTAAATTGGTCCTTCATCGTTCTCATATAGTTTTTTCTTCTCAAAAACCATTCTGGGGGATTCATTTCGTTGCCGTAAGAGGATAGCAGGGTCATGGGGAGATCGCAGCAACAGCAGTAATTTAGAGGAATCTCACAGGAATTGGGGGGTGATGTTGCCTTTGCCTAATGCCTTTGGTTTTACGCAAACATGCTCCGGTAACATTTCACCAAAATGAAGCCAGATACATGTAAGTGTAAGTGTATTCGAATATAACCACGATATCAATGACATTATTTGGGTTTTCGATGAAGAGAGAGAGAGAGAGAGAGAGAGAGAGAGAGAGAGAGAGAGAGAGAGAGAGAGAGAGAGAGAGAGAGAGAGAGAGAGAGATATACATGTGTGTGTGTGTGTGTGTGTGTGTGTGTGTGTGTGTGTGTGTGTGTGTGTGTGTGTGTGTGTGTGTGTGTGTGTGTGTGTGTGTGTGTGTGTGTGTGTGTGTGTGTGTGTGTGTGTGTGTGGTGTGTGTGTGTGTGTGTGTGTGTGTGTGTGTGTGTGTGTGGTGTGTGTGTTTCAGGATGAATTAACATTATATTTTGGCAGATAGGAGGTCTCAAATATGCTGAGGAGAATATGAAGTTTCCCAATCACTGGGAGTATTAACGCTGGCCGACAGAGAAGTAATCCAGGATCCAGATGGCGCCCAGCGTCGTGTTCGAAAATGCCCGTCGCGAGCATAAATCACTAGAGCCATGCCTAAAACAG